AAGCAAGTCGCGCTTGTTCATTTATCGAAGTAAAAATCGTAGATTACTCACCAAATCCAGAATACCTTGAAACCTAACTTCATAAGAGTTGTGACTGAGTTATTTTCGGATTACAATATTATAATTATAGTATCTATACCAAAAACTCAACATTTATGGTGGCTTCTGAGTTACAATATCCTGGTCAAATATAAAAAATTGATTCAAACGTGTATCTAACAGTGTATTTTCCGAAAATTATTTCCACAAGTAACTAAAAAACTATCACTGAACGGTTTAATATTGTAACATCTCAGTAATTCACACCAAGGAACTTGCACAGACACGAACATGCAATCCATGAGCATTATGGTAAACTGTTATTCTTTCATGATCCCATTATCAAATTTTTAAAGACGGTAATTTGGTTGTTCAAGCATCCTTTCAATGTTTGTAATCATTTTATTTTTAATTATAAATAGGTATTAATTTCACCTTTGAAAACAATACAAAATAATAGGAAAAAGCTTTTCCAACTATAAAGAATGGCGAGTAGCTGGAGCTGAACAGGTTTAGATAAATTCAGATACTTACTTAAGTGATATTGTTTTCTGAAAGCTTACTTGGCAGGAATAATGTGATTTCACTGGTTTTACTATCATCGGGGTCTATGGTTAAGTAATAAGAAATAAATCACTCAAATTATCAGGATACAAATAGCTTCCAAGTTTGAATTCACAAATAGACCATTTGTCAGCCAAAAACCAGCATCATTACAAGTAATAAGTGTTGTTACATTAGGAATCATTACTTAGAATGACCATTATCACAATCAAATAGGGCAATAAAATAATACGAGTTACGCTCAACTACACTTCGGTAATTCGATTTCGTAAAATGTCTACAAACCTCGATATCAACCAGTAATATTTATATATTTTTTTCAATCATTCTGATAAAGAGTCACTTTTTAAATATGGCGATTGGTTTGTGTTTTTGCTCAACTCGAGTATTCAATTTATGTCTCATGTTGTCATCATTAACCTAAGTGACAAATTAGATTCATTTCACATACGACCAATGTATGAACGTTACTTGCTAACATACCAATAAGTTCTTTAGGCATGATTTGATGGAATAAATATTTTAATCTTCCAAATGTTTAGTGTCTAACTTCACTTCATTAGTGTAATGGGAATTCAGTTGTTTAATACGTAACTGAAAGACCAAATACTGTTAATACTGTTAATTGATTGTGGATTGCATTCCTTCAACTAATTTATTTTTATTTCAAATTTTGTCCGTTGTCATTTCTCTAGAACAGTTAACATTGAACTTAACTAGGTTCTTTTTTGTTGAGTAGTTTTTAGTGTTTCCTCCATGGAATCACATGCGTTCAATTTTGAGGGAATTTGGAATTCCAATTCATTCACCAATCCCAGTCTCACTTCTGCTGGTTCGACTTAAGAGTGTTTGATGCTTATAAAAAAGTACATGCTGAACTGTTCCCATAATATGTTGATCATTTCGCTTAAAAGTTACATGGGTACAGAAACTCAACTCTCATCCTAATTGACTAAGATGGAAAAAGTCATTGTTGTTAGGTTATTCTAATGGCGGTTTCGACTGTAACAGAGATTACGTTGGTTACAACAGAAATTTGCTGATTGATACAAATCTATAAAACGATCAATTTTACATCATTTTGTTTTGAGTTTCATGTCAATTTGTTCTTGAACCGTTCAATGTTGAACTGCCATTGAAAACCTTAGCTGTTTTCTCTTAAAACGTGATTCCTCAACAGTGCGCATCCCGCTTGCAGGACCATTGATGCTCACTGTTGAGAATTCAAAATTCAGGACCGAATGGCCTTCCTGTGCTTTAAGGTTTTCAATGGTTGTCTAACATTTGTCAATTCATAACCTAAATCAAAATGAAATTTAAACTTGTGATCAATAATAACCAGCTATCACATAACTCATACTTTTCATGCGAAATTAACTGTATTTGAGTAATTCTAATGGCAATCAGATTCTAGAAGAATGTTATCAATCGTATCCATGGTTATCAATGAAATATTTTTTTGAAGCAAATAAACCGACATCTTATCGTTTCTATCTCTGCTCGTCCAGAACCAACATATGGCGACATGGAATAACATATATCTGAATATTAGAAGGTAGATGACAAGCATAAACTTTCTATTACCATGATGACAACTAACACCAAAGGGTGAACTTACAATGATCAAAACGATTTGTTGATTGTTTTTGTTTATTTAACATTAACTCTTTGATACATCTACATCTAAAATAGAGAGAAATGAGCGCTTTACATTACACTGCTACCCTCCATTCATCTCTGCTTATCAAGCCTGTTATATACTCTCTTTGTCGAGACCATTTTCACAGTATGCACATATTCCAAAACAGACTATCCGATTGCAATTCTAGGCATCAGTGGTAAGATTTGACTAATATTAATAAATTATCATCAATCTATTTTCTTACGGCTTTCAATTTAACCTTCGCATACAGAAGGAAAAAATGGCAATCCTCTCATTTCCATTGTAATATAGCTGTCTTATATTATTTTAACGTTAGTTAATTACATTATCTCTTTAATGCATAAATGAAAACTGACAATGACATTCACTCGGGACGTTAACTTTTACTCTGTGTGAAATACATACCTTGATTATTACTTATTTATTAGCCATTTATGTTTATTTATTGCCTATTTATTATGATTGATAACTTCACTTCTATATTTTCATGACTTTATATTCAACATAAAGATCTAAAGTGATCTTACCCATTATGTTGAACAAGTTGTTTCCCCTTCTTGTTTCTTATCCTAGTTCAAACTAAACTCCACTGATTACTGTGTGTAAACGAATTTTTAGAGTAATAATGTAAATTCAAGTCGTTTCCAACTGATGAGAACCTTTGAAATATAATGAATCCATGTTATTTAGTATATCTTGTCTTTCTAGCGTTACTTTAATTTAACAAGAGATCAGAATCACAATTGATTGATCACTCGGTGGTGATCAATGTCATGCGTGTCAAGTCCTTCTTAGTGCTGATCGATTGCTATCGATCAAGTTGCAATGTGGTCACCAGTCTAGGTGGCTCGACACTGCTTGCACTATATATATTGAGGCAAGATGGTGGTTGGAGGTGTTCAAGATTACAGGTACATCTTGCTGACGAGTGCCAAGTAGCACGAAACCCGAGTCCAGCGTCCCCTGTTGACCACCTCCAACCACCATCTTACCTCAATAAGAGATCAGAATATATGAAACATGGAAATTGTTTTATTTATTTATATTCATCACAACGTAGTAGATTCAAATCTTATGTAGAGAAAGTTAAATAGATGTTTTCTTTGTACAATGAATGATAGTTTGATAGATTAAGTAATAAACCGTCTGGTTTTATACTAACTTTATATAAAATATATATACATTTTGAAAACAACAAATAGCTTCGTGGGTTGAGATAACGTCATTGTATTTAGTGTAGTGTCATATCACATTTTATGATAATCATTTGTTGTCAAAGGGTTGTTACATGGTTACATTGAATTTAAAGTCACTTGAAACCTGCTTTTTGGATTGATTAATGACCTATATCTTGAAAATAGATTACTGTCATAGTTGATCAAAATGAGGTTGATATTTTCTGTTGAGTAATATTTAAGTAAATTAATTAATCATAATTGACAACTTCATTCAGTTAGAGAGAGCTAAAATTATACCGATCTAATAATTGTACCAATGTTAATTACTGTGAGTTGTTGCTTTATTGTACGTCTAATTTCTTTCTTCTAAACATAAACATAATTGACTGAATACTTGCAAAATAAGTATTTACCTAGATGTAAAGTAAGTAGGAATATTCACGCTAAACCACAATCTTGATTTCCGAAAACATTCTGTCCATAACAGATATGTTCATTTCAGCTTAAAATAGACTGACTTACTTATGTACTGCGATATTAGAAATCATTGTTGTTAACTTTCAATTGTCTTCATTCTGAAAATCTATTTCGGTTCTTACATTTCTGGTCTTTTTCTTTTTGTATTCGCACAGATATTGCAGGTCAAAATCTTTTATTGTTTTATGATTATTTGGTGAATGTTATTCGTCAAACAGACAAGGATACATTGATATTTTACGAGAGTGTAACTTATGGAATATTTTTTCCATTTGTCAATGGAATACCTGGTACTGGCATGCAACGTGTTCCTGGTCTATTACAAGATGAGACGGCCAGAAAGAAGAGTGTATTATCTTATCATTACTACTGTTGGCTATTGGAATCGACACCAGCTACAGAGCATATGCCATCATGGAAACGACATTTGTGTGATCAGGTGAGAGTTTCAATACCTGGTTTATTGTTTGTAGTGTATGTGCATTTTGAATATTTGATGATTTAATAACAACAATAACCCACTGATATTTTGTAGCATTAGCTTACTGACTTGATTTTTGTTCGTAACTTGATAACCAGATTTGTCTGGAAAATTTTGAAATCCTTTGTCACCCTTATTAAATTATTCGATCTATATTCAGAACAACTACATTCAATTAAGTTAAATGTCGAAGGATCGTTGACCGAAAGCATTTTCATAATAAAATATTGTTTACATTTTACACCATGTCCTCACATTAACCAAACAACTAAAAACTACTCAGTAGTGCGTGCTTGCAACACTACCCGAAATCAAAACTGAAGCTCCAATAGGTCTTAGCGAGTGATTTTTCAGATCAGTAGTTTGACATTCGACGATTGCTATTTTTTGATTTCCCTACTTTATATCAAACTTGAAATTTATTTACCTAGAATTTGTTTACTTGGAATTGATTGAAAAACACCCATTGACTTGCTCATGTTTATCTATTAACATTAAGCTAATTATTTATTTTTTCACCATTGAAATACTCTCAGTAAGCAATATGATGATTAAGTTTGCAAAATTGTTAGAACCATAGTGTATTTTGTAATTGATTAAAACAAGTCAAATAAGATGAGAAATTTCTACATTCCTTCTATAAATTAGTAACATTTATGTTCTATGAATCATCGTAACTGGCAAACGTTATAGCAATGGGTGTGTCTGAAATTGGGCGTAGATGAATAAACAACACTGACGAATAATTCTATAAAGCCATGATAACTATGAATTCTGTCATCTTAGTATTCTTAAGATATAGTCAAATAGTCAAACTAACAGTGGAAGTGGAAATAGAAGTATTGGATTAATATGTATTTTATGTTAACTTTCAAAGTAAGAACATTTGTTTTGTAGGTTTCATTAATCTCATTTACCTATTGAAACCTGTTCACAAACACCATAGGATTTTGCATACAAATGTACATATGTTGTTTGTTGAGACAATCTCCAGTTTATGAATTCAAGTGGAATTCTAATCTGATTATTGCATCGACAGATACAAAGTATGTCCAAATCCATTCTGTTATTCACACCAACTTGTAAGACATTGATTGTTAAAAACAAAATTGACAAACAAATTATTTTGTTTAGTTCGAGCTCCAATTTGTGGTCTGCATACACAGAATGCATGATGTTAGTTGCGACCGTGAATATTTCATTAAAAATACAAATGATAGTTACAACTTATATGGATAAATGTTTAATGTGTCCTTAATAAATGATGAACTGATTAGGGTGAACGCAACACCGGAACTGAACTTAATAAAAGTACTGTAGAGTAATCTAGGAACGAAAATGCAAACACTATGATTTGATATGCAAATTGTGACAACTAGTAATAGGCGCTATTCATTTCCATCATACACAATAATAAAAAATATTATTCACACTAGTGTAAGTCGTTTGAGTTGATTCAATGAATACGTGGATTCTGACTCAATGATGTGATGCATTCCATCATTTGTGATACACATAACTGACTAACAGTTTGCTGTTATCGTGACAAATCAACTAAGAATTACAATGTTCGAATGAGTTTCCTTCACAAATGAACATCAGTTACATATATATTGTTCACATTCAACAATTGTGAACGCGAGAACATTGTCAATAAACTTATATGGTGAATCATATAAGCTTATGCAGGATTTCTGGTAAATGTGATATTTAGTCAGATAGACATAATGGGCATTGCCTGACAAGATGCCACTTTTTGGTATTAGTTCATTTCCTTCTTACTGAACTGATACTTAGATGTTGTGTGGATTATTAAGAAATGACTGATTTTGTCATTTGTAGAATCATCTTCTTTCCTAGCCAGTTATCAAACCACAGAATTCGAAATCACTCAATTTTTGTACCTTTCCTCACTCGGTCATGTAAGTACTTGTGAACATAAATATAATGATAATCATTTGAAGATGGAGAATACTGAACGTCTGTTGGTTTTTTGCAATTTTTCATAACTAAGTCATAAATGTAATGAATGATAGGTCAATTAACAAAATGGATGATGTGTTATTGCTTTGACACAGCATATGCAGTTTATTGTAGTCTAGTTTCATTGCAGAAATCATTTACATACTTATCAATGTTGACATTTCCGTAGGTTTTGTTATTGATAATATCGTTTTTGACTTTATGTCAAATTTGTTATTGAAGTCATTATGTTCTGTACGTAGAGGGAATTTATAATTTTCATTCTGAACAGTGTCATCAGTATAATTAGAACAACATATATAAGCGAACAATATTGTTTTCAATTAGATCGTCATCAGGTTTTACTCTAATATACATGAATATTTATATGAAAATGTTAGACCAATCACAAGGCTATTTGAGGCAATAATCACAATGAAATAGAATATGTAACCAAGCATAATAATAGTTAAAATTACAAGTTGATAGTGGGAAGATAGGTGTACTGATAGTAGTAAGAATATTAAATTACGATAACAAAAGTCTAATCAATAATTAAACATAAGAAGTAAGAATTCATTATATGTGAAAAAAAGTTATAATTGAAATAGTCTCAGCGATTGAACTATAAATAATTCCAACGTTTCGTCCAGCTAACTTGTCTGGACTTCTTCAGGGAAAGAATCAAAATCATCAAAGAAATATACATAGTGTTTTTTGCTTAACAATCATATCATCAAAATTTCTACTACAACCAATCTCGCTACCTTGGCCATCGGTATAGCGGAGTTTGTAGCATAATTTCGGTAAACAATTATCTTATTCCTACCATTTTTTTGTATTTTTTGTATTTTTGTATTTTACTTATTCTCTTCATTAGTCTCTTAACTCTTACATAACTGCTATATTACTGAACATTCATCAAAATATTTTATTAGTTCCTTCTTCTCCTTTTTTATATATTATGCAACGTAGCAACTGATTGATTTTCAAATAATAACTTTCATTAGTATTAATCCTTTTTTTCCAATTAATGTTAGTTTATATTCGATGTCATTATACAATTATTACGTAACGTATCTACTCCATGAGTGTTATTTAATTATTGTAAATCATAGATATATTAGTGTAGAGCCATGATGAAAAACTAATTGAAAAAAATTTCTTCGCTCCATTCGTTTCTTTTAATATGAGTCAGTTGAATGAGAATCAAGTGAAAAGTTCAACAATGTAAAATAAAAGGAGACTGGATGAATTGTGTGTATGTATGTATGTGTAAGATGAGTTATTAATGAATGATAATCAGTGTTGATATGTTTCTATGTGAAGTAAAAATAAGAATAAAAGTGCAAAAATGAAGGTTGAAAACACTTAGTATTGTTTGTTTGAATCTTCACATCGATGTGTTTAGGACTGCAACTGGTCAGTCATCCAGCTGACGAGTCCCAAATAGGACGAAACGCGCGTCCTGGATTCCACTGCTAGCCACTATCCATCTCTGCTTACCATGAAGGTTGAAAAATTTTTTTTTTCTGAATCATCGAAATTGCAAATAAAATGAGAATCATCATCAAGTACATAATTGTAATGCCAAACATAACTCATATTGATTTCAGTCATAATAACGATTCATGTGAAGTAAACAGGTTGAATAAAAGAAGAAAAGGTCAAATTACTTGTTGATGAATATTTGCCAAATGGTAGCTAGCTGAATACCATCTTTTCTGTTTAGGCTGTTCTTATTCGCCCATAAATACAGCGCTTCTGCTGTCAATCTTTCTTTATGAGTGTTGAAACCTTTCTGAAGTATTTTCGCCCCTTCAAAATTAATCATGTGTCCCGTTTCCAATGCATGTAACGCTATTGCAGACTTATTCTCAAGTTTCCTTAAGTCAACCGAAGTTTTGGGAACATTTTTTAAAGATTGCTTGTGTTCCTTCAACCTTACCTTCAATTGTCTGGATGTTTCTCCAATAAAGCCGCATTACAATCATGACAATTGATCTCATAGACAAAATTTTGCTGTTCTTCCTTTGGTAACCTATCCTTAACCTTCACCAATGACGATGTAGTATAGTATAGTGTCGTATAGTGTCACATGTTCTAAAATACACTCTTATATCATACTTGTTTAGGATCCGTTTGATTTCTTCCGATGTTTCACTACGGTATGGTATGACTACAATGGACTTCCAATCTTTCTGTAAACATTGTAGTTTAAAATACAAAAATACAAAAAATACAAAAAAAATGGTAGGAATAAGATAATTGTTTACCGAAATTATGCTACAAACTCCGCTATACCGATGGCCAAGGTAGCGAGATTGGTTGTAGTAGAAATTTTGATGATATGATTGTTAAGCAAAAAACACTATGTATATTTCTTTGATGATTTTGATTTTGATTGCTTCCCTGAAGAGGTCCAGACAAGTTAGCTGGACGAAACGTTGGAATTATTTATAGTTCAATCGCTGAGACTATTTCAATTATAACTTTTTTTCACATATAATGAATTCTTACTTCTTATGTTTAATTATTGATTAGACTTTTGTTATCGTAATTTAATATTCTTACTACTATCAGTACACCTATCTTCCCACTATCAACTTGTAATTTTAACTATTATTATGCTTGGTTACATATTCTATTTCATTGTGATTATTGCCTCAAATAGCCTTGTGATTGGTCTAACATTTTCATATAAATATTCATGTATATTAGAGTAAAACCTGATGACGATCTAATTGAAAACAATATTGTTCGCTTATATATATTGTTCTAATTTTCACAATGGGAATCTTTAGTATTCATCAGTATAAGTTTATGTAGGAAACGGTCTTTCCCCTACTTGTATTGTAGTGAGTGAGAAATCAGGTGGGGATAAGCAATTTATTGTTTGGTTTAAAATCACTCAGTGGCTTGGCAAAATATAGAAATCATACATTAAATACATTTGGACATTTTCGCTTTTTCTTTTACATGATCCACTATTCCTCTAAATCTGTTGTTAATTCGAATCCTGTCCGATTTCCTTTCCGTTCTCTCCATTTCAATCTTCCGCTTTCAGGGATTCTATTTTTGATCATTCCTATATATTTCTTAAGATTATCGGTATACGAAGCATGCACCACATTTTACCCCACCATATAAACGGTCACTCCTGCTGGAGTTTTGCTTGTCGTGACGTTTTCTTCATGAGCCGGACGTCCAGCTCCTTTCCCCAATCGACAGCGACTGATACACCAAAAAACTGCACCTTCAGGACACTTCACTTTAGGTTTCCTTCCTAGGCCGAAACGCACAAACTAATCACTCTTTTCTCTGCCTCACAACAATGTCCGCAGAACTGCATCCTTTCTGCCTCCCTTTTCGCAACGATACCAATTTTGGAGAACAAGAACTCTACTCTATAAAATGATCTGTTTAAACTATTCTTCAGAACTAATGATTTCAATCATGTTGGTCCCTGTCATAGGTAAATGTCTAATGCATATGTTTCGTTTTGTGGGTGATTTTCATTCCCTTTACATGAATTAAGAGTTGTGCAGTTCAATCAAAAAGATGAGTTTTAAAAATAAACGAAGAACGGGAGGAACTAACCACCATTTACATGTCTTTTGCCTAAACACACATATCTGTGATCGATTAATTTCAACTGTCCACAACCACATGGTCAATAATCTACTTTATAACAAACAACACTGACGAATAATTCTATAAAGCCATGATAACTATGAATTCTGTCATCTTAGTATTCTTAAGATATAGTCAAATAGTCAAACTAACAGTGGAAGTGGAAATAGAAGTATTGGATTAATATGTATTTTATGTTAACTTTCAAAGTAAGAACATTTGTTTTGTAGGTTTCATTAATCTCATTTACCTATTGAAACCTGTTCACAAACACCATAGGATTTTGCATACAAATGTACATATGTTGTTTGTTGACAAAATCCCTTGTTTATGAATTCAAGTGGAATTCTAATCTGATTATTGCATCGACAGATACAAAGGACGTCCAAATCCATTCTGTTATTCACACCAACTTGTAAAACATTGATTGTTACAGACTGTTAGTGGGATATAGATTGGATTTAAGCCTGTTTCATGAATGATTGTGTTGCTGCGCGCTGATTGGCTAATTCTAAACTGATCTAGAAGCTTCTTATGTATATGCTATAAATATATGAACGTTATTCAAACTAGTGATTGCTGTTCACTTACTATTATTATTTTGAATACAATTTCATTCCTGTTCAACGTGTTCTGATTTTGGGGTCTTGTCGAGTGTCATCGTATAAGAATACTAAGCAATATGAATAGCTGGGTCGTTTATATAGCAAGATACAATTATAACACAAACAAAATCGACAAATTTGTTTAGTTCGAGTTTCCATTTGTGGTCTGCATATACAGAATGTATAATGTTAGACGAAGCCGTGAATATTTCATTGAAAATACAAATGATAGTTACAACTTATATGGATAAATGTTTATTGTGTCCTTAATAAATGATGAACTGATTAGGATGAACGCAACACCGTAACTGAACTTAATAAAAGTACTGTAGAGTAATCTAGGAACGAAAATGTAAACACTATGATTTGATATGCAAATTGTGATAACTAGTAATAGGCACTTATGAATTACTAAAATAAATGTCTTTTGCCTAAACACACATATCTGTGATCGATTAATTTCAACTGTCCACAACCACATGGTCAATAATCTACTTTATAACAAACAAATTTCTAAGATGATGTATACGGATAAGTTAAGAGATTTCGTGAGTTGGTGATACCAAAAGCTTTCGTAAACTGTTGAGGAAGTCGACTTAGTAGGACAATCAACCTTATAAAATGTACGACAATAAAGCATGATTGAGGAGTATTAGTTATTGGGATGAAAGTTTTTGAGTTGTACCATTTGTACCCATTTCGTCTGGTCTTTGGTTTCACTCCAGAAATAATATCACATTTATTTCTTAGTTCACTAATATTCACGAAACGAGATCGTGTGAGCGTTCGATCACTGATTTTCTCTTCTGAACTACCTTCTTTTAACTGTTTAATACATATTATTGCTCATATTTACAATTATATATTATTTGCCTTCCACGTTTGTTTGACTTGAGATAACTTCGGAAAACTCTAGTATTAGGAATTATCAGACTTTCGTTCACCGCCAGCATAACACGATCATCAGCTGTGCTTAGTGAATGTGTTTCTATCATCAGGTTACGATAACCCATCTCTTGAAAACAATTCGAGAAAGTTAGTCATTAATAATAACACTCTATTAACCAAAGAACAGTAAAGTAACAAGTGAATCGAAGAATTCAGTTTGCCTCTGATCGTTTTTTGAAATCTCGTTTATGATAGGGTTCTAAAGTAAGCTTATGAGCAAAAACATCTGGTCGAAAAATATTAACAGCTTACTCCATTTCAGTAGAGATATTAATTTCAGAAGGGCCATTTTACTTCTTGCAGTTATCATATAATTAGCTAGTTATTAGTGTTTGGTTATTCCTTTATGTCAAGTGTGATAAAATTAGTTAATCATGGTTCTTTAAGAAATATATGAATAACTATTTCATCCTAGTATATCTCTCTAAATCTTCCTTACTTCCTTTGGTTATTAAGTTATCAGGTTATGATCTACACTGTCTTCAAATTGATTACCTTACATATGCATTTCACATTATTGCAATACATTGTTTCGCTTCGTAATTTCTTCTCTCTCATACAGTTGAAATCGTTCAGTCGTACATATCCACAATCAACTGCCGGTCAACCTGTCCAACTGGAATTCGATGTAGATTCAGGTGTGTTTTATTATGCTTTTATACCAACACAGAAGAATTGTACAAATGTGAACTCAGCATTGTTAGTTGCAGAAATTTTTGCTCCAATGTCGATTCATTATCCACATGGAATGAGGACTCGTTTCATCCCAGAACAATTATCTTATAAAGTGTATGAAAATAATACTAATTTAATATTTGTTTATATGCCATGTACTTTGATGAAGACGAATATTGAACTTATAGAAATAACGATCATACCAAAACAAAATTAAGATAATCATTCAAACAGTAATAATTTTATTTGTTTACTAGTTTATTCGAAATCTGTATCCATTTTGTTGATTGTTAATTCGTTGTTATTTTTGCATCTTTTAACTTATTTTGGATAAACTAAAGAAAGTCAACTTGATGGAATGTTTGAAACTTACTTTCATTTTGCGACTATGCCTAGTTGTACATTGGGAGAATACGTGAAAACAAGTATATATTGCATGGCAAATAAAATTAAATGCATTGAGAAGAGAATGCACATAGAGGTCACCTAAAATCTATCACAGGAATAAAGGACTGTGAAGCAAATAGTGAAGAATGAAAATAACACATCGCTCATAATTAATTACGACAAAACTGATGGATTGGATATTTTAGTATATAAAACTTTCTCACTGTCAAACGTAATGCCTGTATGCTTGGTTTAAATCACCTTACTTTTACAATCAGAAACTTACTCATAAAATAGCTCTATAACCACGGATCGAGACTATCAATATACCTAGATTATGTAGTATAAATCGGATTTCAGTAAACAAATAGTCACATACAGAAAGCTTACATTATTGTCTCTCATCAAATCGCTTTGTTATATGTGAATCAAATCTCCCACTGACATGACTTTTGATAACTCATGTTAACGAATGGTTAATGTCGACTTTTTATTGATGAAATTCCATTGAGTATAAGTAATGCGCTGAATAAAATACATTTATGTGGAGAATAAATCGTTAGTCGAGAATATGTAAGGACTAGATAGACTGTGTATTTGTAAAAGTCATAAATAAGCTAGAACTTCGACATAACTCAATCGAGAATTTCAATCAGAAGCAAGCAGAATGTAGGTGTATTGTATTATCATGACAAAATAAAGCATAGCGTAAGACATTTCACTGTCTGATAACTTTATAAACCATCCACAACAACAAATATGATAAAGCTTTAGTATATCAACACGAGCGTTACTATAAAGTGGTATGAAGTTGGGAAAAACTTTATCAGAAGAAGAAATATGATGGTGAATATACTCTTACCATAATTATTTTATGATTTTGAACACCACTAAACGTTTGTGTATTTTTCTTCAATGAGTTCGCGAAGGCTGAATCTATCAGTAAGGTTTCTATCATTTATAGAGTTTGCCCCCATTTTGTTATTTTTCCGTTTACTTGGTGTTTGAGTGCTAAGTATAGGAGTTTTATAGTCATTAAGGATTTTACTTCGTTTTTGCAGAGCTATAAGAACTATATGTTACGAATATGTTCTGTACCTTATGGTCAAAAAATAACAAACGAGAAATAGAAATATATGTCACAAGAAACCATTGATGGCAATCACCGTTCAATATAAAGAATTAATTGATTTAATGATCGCCAAATGAATCCTAGTGCTGGATATGATACGCCTTCTGAGCATATAAAACGTCTCAGGAATATTATTTCATGCTAGGACAATTAAACTAAAATCCACTATCCAGTATAATTTAGTTGAGAATTAGGATACAAATTCATGCTTTAGGCTAAAGAAAACCTATACCACTAATCTTTCTGTGTCAACAATAAAAGATATTTATTTAGATGTTTTGCTGAAATGCAAACGAGGCATTTTTTTATAGTGATCACATTTAGATTGAATTCATTAGTGGTGTGTTGAGAATATAAACATCCAACATGTTTGTGATTTAAACTAAAATGGTTTATACATAATTTCCAATTATTAAAATAGTTAAATTATGACAATGTTTCTTACTGATTTACATTGTTTTTGTAATGATGTCAGTGTAATTGAACTGATTAAGTAGAAGGTAAAGACATTTAAATGTTAACAGATCAACATTTCATTCTACCTGACTCAATCCATAATTTAAAATTAAATGAGCATGGGTTTATTGTTTAAGTGATCATGAGTAACATACAGATCTCACAAGAATCATGTTTACATTATCTGTTTATACTTTTCACTTTGTTGTGTTCATTTCTGAAATAGCTCAACTACATAACTAAGTTATGATCACTATGAAATGTTTTTCATATTATTGTTAGTCAGAAGAAAAAGCGTTGATTATACTTTTGTATTGGGGTAGATTTCATTTGAATTAGATAGAAGCTAGAAAGTCATGTTTCTTATTATTTTTCATCAAATGATCTCGGTGATAATTCTAGTAGACACAAGTAAATGAAAGGAATTGAAAAATTTGTCTCTTACCCATTATGATTGAGTTCTTAACAAAAACACTGAATTCACATTTCAAATGAAAAACCCTACGATTCAAAAAAGCGCAGTTGAACATATTTAGACGATTTCAAATTGTTTCAATCAGAACTCGTTTACTTTTCCAATACCTTATTATTCTATACATTCGACAACATACTCATTTTCATATTCATTGAATTCTCAATATAAAATGTGGTCTTCTGTAGATGTAGTCATGAATTTTCTATAGAATATGAAAATCTACATTTAATGTTGTTGGGAAAATTGCATTTTGATATGTGTTACATAACGACTAGATTAATACTTTAATTACCAAATTAAATCTTAACACAAGTTCCAGTTCATAAATTTTCTCATTGAGATAAAAATATAAAACGTGGTTATATTTCATTTCAAAAGCACTTGATGGATCTAAACAGCAAGAATATAGCGATGCACACAATAACCACCTATTGTCAGTTTTAAGCCACGGTGGAAGATGAAAATAACTGATAAGCATATGGAAACGTCCAAGTCAGTCAATTGAGATACGCGTTAACCGAAGTTCACAAACACCGTTTCGTCTAAAATAGTGATTGTTTATTGAATAACAGACAAAATTTAGTTACAAAACTCAACATTCGAGGTGTGTGTATTGTTAACAACGTCTTTTAGTTCCTAATATGAAGACAGTCAGTTGTGTCTAAACTCGATAACGGTTAATTAACAAGCAAAAATCGAACTAAGAGCAAGCAATATGGAAACTGTTGACTTTGAACAAAGGTTGAACGACTGCACAAGATTTCGAATAACTACTACAATAATTGATGTCAAGTCATTATAATGATAAATAAAATGAATGTTATAAGTATGTGTAAACATTTCAGAATATTATATGACCAACGTGAGTTACCACATAATAGTAGAAATTGCTAGGAATAAAACTATTTGCTGAATAATGATAATAAGTAATATAAAACAATACAGAAATGTCGGAGTGAAGTGAATAAGGACATAGAACGTAAAACAAACTTAACTTATAAAACGGAACCATCTGGATGAAGTGTTTAAACTTATCAACAACTTTGATAGAAAAATCAAGTTCACCAAAGAGTTGGAATCTCCTGAAAACAAATTACCTTTCCTTTACACTTCATCCAGATGGTTCCGTTTTATGATGACAAAGGTGTCATCTACATATCTGAACCATACTTTCGGTGCCTGAGAACATATATTCAGTTTTCGAGTGGATTTATACAGACAGACAGAAGGTGTAGCTATGGGATCACCAGTTTCCCCAATTGTTGCTGACCTCTTCATGCATTCATTGGAAACTAGTGCCATCTCATTATGTTCTAAGGCATCAAAAGTATGGTTAAGATATGTAGAATCAGGTCATACAATTAATTTCGGTGGCACAAGAATCCTTCAAAAAGCTTTTAATTCTTACAAGGAGAGACAAACAGCTGAAGCCCTATACATTTGGGCTAATCCAAACAATATTAATAGGAGGGATGGAATACAATTAGCAGTGCCATGGCAGCTAATCATTAATAAGTAACAACCTGAACTCCTTAATGTTTTTATCTAATTCGTATTATCTAAAATGACAACAATTACACTTAATGATTCTAATCTGTTGTCTTATCGGAAATTGTTAAACAATTCATTGGAACATTAAAAATGACACATACATGCAGTCAAAATTACGATCTTCAAATTTCACCTTTATATTTTTATTTTTATATTGTTTAATTATCTTCATGTTATACATACTGTGACAGATGTGATTCATATCATATATATTACAAATTGTATGTTTCCTTATAAATTCACTGATAAGAGACAATATATAATGTGAATGTAATTTTCTCCTCACCTTTTACGTTTTCTATACAATATGTTTTATGTACACTCTTCACATCACACACAATATGTTATATGAACACTCATCACTTCACATCACATATCTCTTAAACATACCTAGTTTAGACTTTTTGTTAACGTTGATTGGATGACCTATTCAGTGTATAATGAATTCGGAGAACCATGTACCTATTTATATTCGATAATTTTGATGTTTGATTATATTTCCTTGAAAAAGCTTGGACCAGATTGCCAGGCGAAACGTTGGATTTACTACAAATTCATTCGTTGAGATTTTGCAAATATATTATTCCTATTTAATGATTTATATATTATTGTTCGTCAGTCTGAATAAAGAGTTGATTATACTTTTGTATTGAAGAATTGAATTAGATGGAATCTAAAAAGTCATGTTTGTTACTATTTTTAATCTCAGTAAAAATTCTAGTAGACACAAGAAAACAAAACGAATTGAAAAAAGTTGTCTGATGTCTTCGAAGATAGACTTCTTAACACAAACAGTGAACATATATTTTAAATGAAAAACCCTACGAGTCATAAAAATGCAGTTGAACATATTTAGACAATTTCAAATTGTTTTTATCAAAACACGGTTTCTTTTCCAATACCTTATTATTCTATACATTCTACATCTTACAAATTTTCATATTCACTGAATTCTCAATAAGTGATGCGGTCTTCTGTAGATGTAGTCATGTATTTTCTATGGAACATGAAAATCTATATGTTTATATATTGTTGTTAACAAAATGCATTTTGATATGTGTTACATAACGACTAGATTGATACGTTGAATACCTAATCATATCGTAACACAAGTTCCTGTTCATAAATTTTCTCATTGAGATAAAAATATCAAACGTGGTTATATTTCATTTCAAAAGCACTTGATGGATCTAAACAGCAAGAATATAGCGACGCACACAATAACCACCTATTGTCAGTTTTAAGCCACGGTGGAAGATGAAAATAACTGATAAGCATATGGAAACGTCCAAGTCAGTCAATTGAGATACGCGTTAACCGAAGTTCACAAACACCGTTTCGTCTAAAATAGTGATTGTTTATTGAATAACAGACAAAATTTAGT